GGCGGGGCGGGGCGGCACGAGCTGCGGCGGCACGAGCTGCTAACGGCCGATGGTGCGCTGCCGAGCTCTCCGCGGAGAGTCTGAGAGGAGGCTCCCCATTGGCTGGCGAGGGCGGCCGCGCGACCCGTCTGGCCAATGCCGTGGGGCCTTTCTTCTTCCCGCCTGGCGCGGTGAGGCGAGGGCGGACCCGGGGCGGCGGGGCTCGTGGCAGCGCCCGGGGGCCGCCTTTGTTTCCTCTTTGCATTGATTTTTTCCATTGAGGGGATTTCCATTTCCTGGTTAAGAGGCGGTTGTAGAAGGAGGGGCGGTGGCAGGTGAGCGCCCCCTCATGTTTGTTGCTGGCGGGTGGCTCTCCCGGCCCCGCTCGAGGCTTCAGTTGACGCCTTTGGGGAGGAGCCGGCGATGGCTGCCGGCTGCGGGGGGAGCGGGCCCGGCCCGTGGCTCTGGCCCCGCACCAGCTGGGGGCCTTGTCTGGGCCCGGGAACAACCCGCCGTGATGCTTCTGCGCCACGCGTTTGGGTCCTCTCAGCCCTACGTCTTGTGTGTCCTGCTGAACGTGTAAGCTTTAAATTACCTTTTCTTCCCCAGAAATCCTCAGCTACCCCAAATCTAATCAGTTTAGAAATGAAGCAGGGCCCTTCTTGGCCTCAAAAGTAATAAGCTAGGGTAGATCTCGTGTGACGAGGCTGAACTGTGCCCAGCTGTGTCTCGTTCTGTTCCGTCTCGCTGGCATCCCCCCCCATCCCGAGGTGAGGCCAGACCTGGCAGTGCTGCTGCTTTTTGCGTCTGGTCCGCAGCTGAGGAAGCCGTCTGTAAAGCTGAGCCCGGGGCAGCTCAGAGCAAAGAGTTCTTTTCACTTACTGCGTTCGTTGTAGCGGCGTCTACTGCATGTGTTTATGTTAATACAAAATATTTATAGGCCTCCAAACAATGCAGAGGGTCTTCTCACATTTTTTGCGCATAGTTCCTTGATTCTTCTTTATTTTTACATATACACATATATTTTAATAATTTTCCAAGAGCTCATCAAAATTCAGCTTGTTAAATGTGGAATTTAGTAGTATTTCGTCTGTGCCAAACGTAGTTGTTCCAGAGCACAACTGGAGGGGGCGCACTTGAGCTATTTTTGAAGACTGGGGGTATTTTGTGGTCATATACTGACACGGAGCCAAACTCAAAACGTTTACAATGAAGTTCTAAAAATTAAGAGGAAAAAAAATATAAGGTATTGTGAAATATAATACCTTGGTATAATAGGAGGCAGATGTGGTGTGTCTTTGGGTGCTGGAGTGGCGCTGATTCTTGCCTTGGTTGCTTCGGAGGGACTTATCGCATAGTTTAAGAATTAACGCAACAACAAAAAAAATCTGCAGCCGTTTGTACATTGTGCTCTTTCCGTTGCTGGATTTCGCCAGCGAGGGCTGTTTTTATGCAGTGTCTCCCGACAGAACTGGGTGTCAATTTACAGGTACTTCTTTTTTTTCATAGCCTGCAGTAGCTGGTCCGTCATGGACCCACCCATAGACCTCCTTTATACCAGCTATTCCCTGCCTCCCCTTCCTGCTAGCATTTCAGTCCAGAACTTCAGAAGTGTCACACTTACGGCTTCCTTGAATTTCTGTGATACTAATCTACGTTTAGTCAAGACCAGAAACAATGCTTCGGGTGATTGTGGAATCTGCTAGCAATATCCCTAAAACCAAGTTTGGGAAACCAGATCCTATTGTTTCTGTTATTTTTAAAGGTAAGGAAAATGTTATAAATTACTCAGGGAGGAGGTTTTCTGAAGGACAGTGCTCTATGTAAGTGTTTGAAAATCTGTGAAAATATGTTTTTCTAATGTAAGTTTAGGGAAGACTTTTTAATTGGAGAGACAGGAGTTACCTCAATAAAGTTTGGACTGGGTGGAGTGCATTGGTCTTTTCTGGCCAGTTTCAGATCCGTGTTCTACCAGCTTTTGCAAAGGCTTAGCCCTTTGCTTTAAAAACCCACATCCGACTGCACAGATCAATACCAGAATTAAAAGTGGGTTTAAGATTACCTTGTTGTTTTCCTGCTGAAAAAAATCATTCCTCTGTCTTGATTACTTTGCACAGCCACTGTTCACTGTTACACCAATTTTTATTGTGGCTGGTTTATTGTTGTTATTACAGTATGTTGAAAAACAGTAATACCGTTACTGAAGGTGTTTTGTTTTGTTGGTTGGTTTTTTTACAAACTGAATTGCATTTCGAAATTTTGCCTATTGAAATTATTTAATTTAAAATAAAGACTTAGGAAACCGCATTTTATACTGTCATTGCTCATCAGATACACATGGGAGAGAAAATAGTGTGATAAAATGAGCATTTATCTGTAAAGCTAATTATATTTCACAGTATATTTTACCTGTTGCCATTATTTCCTCACTTGGCTAGACCAAAGGAACTTCATTTCAAGTATTAGTTTATCTTTAAGGTGCAGAAACGTCACAGCAAAGTGTGCATCATATAATAAGTTAAACCAAACTTTGACAGTCACCTTAATTCCTGGTGACTTGCTTTCCTGACTGAAATGGAAATGGCATTTCCTAAAGTACGAAAAATCATTGCAGGGGAAACCAAATCTGAAATCAGGACGTTCTGCTGGAGGCTGGAAAAGGACAAGGCAGTGCATGTCCAGTATCTTAACCTCCAGAATAAAATGTTTTCAGACACTTTATTTCAGCCTCAGAAAGATGTGATAGCATTCCAATTCCTTTCTTTTCCTCCTCTTTTTCAGGTTTGTTTTTTTACCCCCTTGTGTGTTAGGGCAAGCGGCTGACCCTGTATCAGCTTTTGGAACTTTATAATTCTTAAAATATGATTTTATTTGCCCTGAAAGAAGTGCTGTTACTGATGTCCTGTAATTTCTCTGGTTTGTTACATTTGTTTCTGCTGCTTCTTAAGCATTCATATTCTCTGTTCAGTTCCTTGTCTTTCTCTCTGCCTTCCTGTCACAGTTTTGCCTTTCTGTCACCTCTGTTGCTGCAGTTTCAAACTCGAGTTGGTTTGTGCCTTCGCTTCTTGATGCCTTAAGTGTCTGTTTAATTCCTCCTTGTAATCTTCTGTTACCGCTGTGTGCTCTAATGCGATTCAGTTTTACCTAGGAAATATAAGTTATGGATTTATTTTTTTCTCCTGTCTTGCTGGATTTGCTTCTTAATCCTTCAGTTATCCAGGACTGTTATTCAGTAACACAGGAATCGGGCAACAGACATGAAAGGAATGAGTTTATATTTACCCTTTATGTGCTATAACTGGGATTTTTTCATGTTCGCAGACATGCTTAATCATTGTCTTAAATACCACTTCATAGCTGTAACAGTTTTTTAGTAAGGTATTTAATTTCCCATTATATCTGCCACTTTTTTTTTTATGTGGTTTACTACATACCAACAGTCTAATTTTTTGCTTTCTGCCCAGCGTGATTCAAGGAGGGCAGAAAATAATCAGGCTTTTGCCAGCTCTTGAGAAGCTCTGATTTAATTTGTAAGTGGAGTACTTTGTTGCCAGGTGCAAGGGTGTAGGGATCATATCTGAAATATGTTGAACTTCTGGCTGTTCATTTTTATAGTTGTTTTTTATATACCGCCCTTTCCCCCTCACCCTGTTAAGTGGGTAAAGATGGGAAACCAGTCTGATTTTGGGGAAGGTGTACATCAAAGGGCAGTCGTCTTTAACTGTAGTCCATACCCACTGCCCCTCATGGGGGACATAAAAAACACAATTGGGAGTTTGTTTGGGACTGGGGAAAACTGCGGCATCTGTAGGACTTTGGCCATAGCCCTGCAGTTCGTGTTCATGTTCTTGTTTGACTCGGGGTTATTCTTGGAGAAGTCTTGGAGAACAGCACTCATTTGGCAGAAAATTGCTGTGGAAGTTGACATTTCATTGAACTGTGGTTTGTTCATTGGCTTTTTCAAGCTTAAAGTTACAGAGCCTTTGCTGATGTCAGGTTCAGTAGAGTTAAGACTTCAATGAAAATCCCAGTATCTCTCAGGAGCATACCTGTACATGGCTGCTGTGAGGAAAAAGGCCATGATCACACAACTGCTGTTGTGTGACTGCAGACACTGCCTGTGTTAACACACGTGTTAGTGTAGTTTCATCTGTGTATGGAATAGGCTGCATCAAACCTGTGTAACTGAGCTAGTTACAGACTATGCAGGGAGCACCATGAATAAATGAGATATATGGGGTTCATACCCAGAGGAAGCAGGCAGCTGGTTCTGTTGTGATACCTCCTTTGCAATAGAGGGGCTTTGGGCAAACATTCAGCCTTTTTTTACACATTGACGTTCCAGTGGGACGGCACTTTTATTTACTTTAAGAACAACTCACTGTTCAAAGAGAACTACACCCTGAGAGTAAACGCATGTATTGCTGTGTAGAATGGCTGTTACTGCAGAACTCTGTGCTTGTTGTCACTCCACGTGAGAGAAATGAGTAGTTGAATTAACATGAAAAGCTGTTGCCATTTGCTGAAGTGGCACTAAGTGGTAATGATTAAACTGGTACAATTCTTTTGGTTTGTAAGGTACACCAAGATGGAGAGAGATGTGTCAGATTCTTGTCTTTGGGTGTGTAAAAATTGACATAATTGTTTATAAGTGCAGTCAACACTAGGACATCGAGTGCTTTGATCATCCCTTTTGACTGCCTCTTTCAGCTTTATGTATTAAAAACCAATGTGAAATGGCATTCAGTTTGATTGGGCCAACCTGAATAAAATTTCTTTTTCCATTTGTGCTTAATGTAGGAGCTTTCCAACAGGCCTGCAGTATTTCATAGCTATGTTAGTTTATATTTCAGT